AAAAAACTCTGAATTTGTGGAACAAAGCAAATGGGCTTTCTTCTCCTGTGGATAAAGGAGCCCAGTGCTGTTCACCACACTCACTAACATCACCCCAATTCTAATTTGTGTTAGTGCTCACAGACAACAGAACCTCAACGCGTAGCATGTTCTAAGTACGGGGGCTCAGATTGTGCGTGGCCTCTGCATAGTTATAGTGCAGCAGAGGGATAAACTTTCCATCCCTGCTTCAATGCCAGCTTCCCTCGCAGTGGGAACGAAACAAGCATTTTCACAGGCAAACCAAATGGAAGGTGGGGCTTGTGGCTAAGGTGCTGGACTGGGACCAGGAGACCCAGGATTCAATTCCCAGCTCTGCGGCAGGCTTCCTTGGGCAAGTCACTGTCTCGCTGTGCCTTGGTTCCCACATCTGTACAATGGGGCTATTAATAGTCCCTTTCTTACTTAACATTTAATGCCTAAAGGTCACAGCCACCATTGTAGTAGGCCCTATACAAACACATAGTAAATGACAGTCCATGCCCCCAAGAGTCTATACATCTTTGTCTGTCTTGTCTAGACCTATGTGTCTGTGAAATGCCTGGCACAATGGGGTCCCAAACTCATTTGGGGTCTATAATTGCTATCGTAATATAGATATAACTTTGGGTGTGCAGATTCATTGATATGGGCGTCTATATGAGACAATAGGGCTTTGCGCTGAATCAGGAACAGTTAATATTTCCCAGTACAGTTGTGATTTGTAACCACTGAGGATGGCTGCTGGTGTTCTGTTTTGCTGGGGCATCTAGGGGCTACTTAATACAGATAAGAAACAGATGATTCTTCTCTAACTTTTTGTTGTTTAAAAATTGTGTGAATTCAGTGCTGCAGAATAGCACTGGCTTGAGAGACCTGGGGACAACGTGTTTACACTGCAATAAAAGACCTGCGGCTGGTCTGGATCAGCTGATGGGAGCGTGGGCTGTGGAGCTATAAAACTGCAGTGTAGATGTTCGAGCTTGGACTGGTGCCTGGATTCTGAGACACCATGACGGGGAAGGTTCCCAGAGACCAGGATCCAACCCAAGTCCCAAAGTCACTGCAATTGTACAGCCCCGCAGCCTGAGCCCTGCAACCCTGAGCCAGCTGGCCCAGGCCAAACACTGCTGTGCTGCAGGTCTTTTATAGCAGCGTAGATGTGCCCCATGTCGTCTGTTTATCCAGACAACAGGTAGCAGAAGTGCAAACTGTTGATGTGCCTCAGGTATGGCCTCCCGGGTCCTTCTACAGCACAAGTAACTGTAAATAGCTGCCAACATAAGGACCAATTAGTGCCGCTTGCAGCAGTGTAGCTGTTGCTACTTGTCTGTGCTGGGAAGCAGCTTGAGAGAGACAGGGCCATTTGCAGGGGTCCTGGGCAATGGATATTTTGGCATCTACCATGCAAAAGCATGAAGAAGAAGAAGAAGAAGGCTCAGCAGTGCATGATAATAAATTTTGTCCTGCCAGCCTGAGTGTTAGATCTCTCAGGAGTACCAGTAAACAGAATACAAATATACATGACTAACCTCAGAGGTAGGTGAGTGCTCTCCTATTTTCTCTATTCCTTTCCCTCACCTTCTACTCCCCCACTTCTCTCAGTTCCATTCTCTCTCCTTCTACTTTTTTTTAACTCCCTCCTTATTTTGTTCTGTCTCCATCTTCCTTTGGGTCTGCTATGTTCATGGCATACAAAACAGAGGAGATAGATAAAAGTACTTTTGTTGGAAGCTTGCAATGCAACACTACTTTATTTCTTATAATTCAGAGTGATGTTTGCAGTGTTGTTGTAGCTGTGTTGGTCCCAGGATATGAGAGAGACAAGAGCTCTGTGGAGCTTGAAAGCATGTCTCTTTCACCAAAAGAAACTAGTCCACTGAAAGATATCCCCTCACCCATCTTGTCTCAATTCAGAACGATCACACACAACCACCCAAAACAGAGAGAGATGAAGCAGGCTGCTCCTTAAAACAGAGAGGCAAAACTCACCCCATCCTACTCTAGGCTGTCTGTCTGCTGAATGCACTCTGATCACAGGCTTCCCTCCAGAGCCTCTGCCTGAAAGCAGGACCAGGAAAAAACCTTGAATTGTTTTCCTTCTCTTGAGATCCTCCTCTGCACCCTTTCACTTTTCTCCCACTACAGACCCTGCTTTTTTCCCCCTTTTGTTCCATAAATTTTTGATTTTTTTTTCCTGAAAGAGACATGGAGACTCAGTGGAGACAGATCCTCCACTGGTGTAGCTCCACTGACTTCATTAGAGCTATATCGACTTACCCCAGCCAGAGATCTGGCCCAGTGATTCCAAATGGGTATAAAGGCTGTGAGAGTGTGTGATGAGGGGACCAAGGGAGAGGTGATGTGGGAATGGGACAAAGGGGACCTAAACCACTGTACTGTAATTTGTATACCAACAGCCAGATTCTTCTAGTTCTCAGCTCCCACAACCGGGGACCGATTTCTTCAAAAGCATTCCGCACCAGTTGTACTGAGCTGTGGAATTCTGCTCACTCACTGTGGTACCTATGAGTACCCCTACACTGCAATAAAAAACAACAACCCGAGTCTGAATGTCTACACTGCAAATTTTAGCCCCACAGCCCAAGACCTCGGAGCCTGAGTCTAGGCCCACTGTGGCCATGCAGTGGGTCTTTTATTGCAGGGTAGATGTACCCTAAATGGGAACTGAGCTTGTGAAACTCTGTCCCAAAGGGACAAGAATAAAACCAGGAGACAGCAGGAAAAGCAGCTACCAGGAAGGTGTTAGAAGGTGGGAGTTAAAGTAGGGCATCTCCTACTTCGATAGCCACCTTCTTCTGGGCCCTTGTGGTAACAGTTCCCCACCCTAAGGTGGCCTAATCCACCTATCATTTTACACATCACCTCTGAATACATATTTACTTACTGTAAGTTCTTTGGGGGAGGGACCACCTTTTTATTCTGTGTTTGTACAGTGCCTCGCACAGTGCGGTCCTTGTCCATGACTGGGATTCCTAGCTACTACCACAATACATATAATATTTAATCCATACTGGATTTTTTTCTCTTTCTGATTTTTTTTTGATGGTTCTTTCCTTAGTGAAAGTTCCTTGTGAAGGGGTGAGATAGCAAAGATTGTTCTTTGACATCCATCATTTTAAATGTCCCAAACACCCTGTGTTTCATTTCCTCCTTCCATAATCCCCTGCAACCGTAAAATTGGGAAAATTACACTGACGCACCTCCGTAAAGTGCTTTGAGATCTACCCATGAAATAGTCTACATGGCTGGTGCTGGTGTTCTCAGTCATCAGTTTATTCTGCAAACATGTAACTGACATAGAACCCAGAATAACAATTGACCTAACAAACAAACAAACAAACAAACAAACAAAAAAAGCCTCAAAGATGTGTAAACTTTTACTTCAGGGGCCAATTCCATGTAGCGTTTCAAAAGCAAGTTTTTCTTCTCATTGGAAAGAAAAGGCTTTACAACAGTAAGAGGCATGGATGCTAGTGAATGTTCACAATAAGGAAAAGATCTCAATACACTTAAAACCCACCTCAAACCAGTAATTACTATGTAGCATTGCGAGGCAGGTACATTATTGACTTTAGAGTATGCAGGCAAGTGCAGCAGCAATATGCACTAGAAGAGTAGCTTCCAGTATAAAACAGGCATCAGCCTTTCCTCCTGGCACATGATGAATGTCTGTGCTGATGTGGCAAGCTGGTCATTCCCTATTGTTTCAGAACAGCCTCACGGGCATTCAGAATTATGGGGCCTTAGTCTGCTTTCATCCTGGTGGCAATGAGAAGTAACTTCGCAGAACTTGCCTACAATGGGGCAACATCTGTAGAGCTGGTCAGGAATTTTCAGCCAAAACCTTTTTGTTTGATAATGCTGATTCATCAAAACTGAAGCAGTGCACAGGAAAGGGTCGCTGCTGAGGAATCTCCCATTTCAAAACATTTGTGAATTGTGTTTCCAAAATGGTTGGAAAGTCCTGTTTTGACAAGGAAAGTTTTCATTTTCTGGTTCAAAAAGGCTTTTTTTTGTGCGTGTGAAATTTTAGTTAAATTTGTTATTAGCTAAATCATCAAGTATTTTTATTGTTAGGGAAAACATGATCACGACAAAATATTTCAACGGTTCCAATCTGAATTAATTTATTTTTTTTAGATTTTTTTATTCGTGAAAATTTTGGAAATTTTGACTTTTCGGAATGGGAAAAAATTTCGAAATCTCAAAAACATGCCTGGGCTGGAGAAACCGTTTCCTGCCCAGCTCCACACACTGGTGTCAGATCTGTGTGAGAGCAGCAGCAGGCTCCATGGGATGCAACATTGTTTTGTCAGCTCAGGCAGCTGTTAGCAGCGTGGACTCCTGAGCAAAGTCCGTGAAAAAGGCCCTCTGCATAGAGCATGCTAACCCCCACCCCCATGTCTGTGAGTCAGGCGAGAGCAGATGGTTCCTAAAACTAGGTTTCCATGGTTCATGCATTTCCAGCTTCTAATTTACGGGGGTGTGTGTCTGATCCTGCAAGGTGCAAAGCACCTTCAACACCTACTAAAGACAAGGAGCCAAAGGTGCTCAAAGCCTTGTTGGTCCAGCCCCAATTAACTTGATTTCTTTGGGATTGGATGGAACCATCAGCTCAAGAAGGAAGATGAATAAAACAACAATAATTAAAAAAGGAACATTCTACCTCCCTCTCTTCCCATCCATTTGGAAAACTGGTAGCCTTTTATCCTCTGAAACCCGTCCATACCTGGTCCCATATTCCACAGGTTACATTTGAGTTGGAGAGTTGGGCAGCCAGAAATTAGAGTGAAATATAGAAACCAACGACTAAACAGAACACTGGAAATAGTAAAGCACTCAGTGTTGCTGGTTCTCATTGAACTGGATACTACTTTGAGCTGCATACTGGATACTGCTCCCTAAAGCAAAGTTATTCTGGTCCATGAAGCACAGTGTGTACTTGAAGTCAGTAGCGATCACGCTGACTGTCCATTGGGCAGTATCTCCTTATGGGCGCTCACCATGGGGTAGGTAACGACCGCCACTGAAAGCACTGACTCCAGCTTCGCTGACGGCACCCGCTCACAGAGTCTCAGTTCCAGGTTCTCTGCACTCAGGTGGCTGTGCAAACTTCTGCCCTCCTTCCTGATGCCACAGTTCGAGGGTCCCATTTTGGCCCTTTCCAGCTGCTGGCTCTCCTGCTTGTTGGCTGGCTCGGGGCTCCGCAAGCTGCAGAAGAGAATAGCCACAAAGCTCTTCTTGAAGTTCTCGTTCATAAAAGTGTAGACCACGGGGTTGTTGAAAGAGTTAAAGAACCCAACGGCCTGGACGATGGCAAAGATTATCTTTACGGTGACGTCATCGTAGCTTTCCTCCAGGTTATCTGGGGAGCAAGGGAATGGATTAGAAAGAACCAACCAGAGGGTTTTATCTATTAGAACCACATCTTTCTGTTTGCTACACTAGATGCTCCCTTGCCTTATCATTCACCAGCCTCCTCTCCAGTCCTTCAACATGCTCCTACTGCAAGTAGGTTGAAGCTCACCCCTGTGCAAGAGGCCAGCATGAGGCCTATGCAGTACTTACAGGCAGGACTTAAGAGGTTGCAAAGGCCTCTTCACTGGGGTGAATTTCACCTGCAGTGAGGCAACCTTCTCTGCAGCTCCTGCAATCTGGAATAGCCATTCGACCTCTCTCCAGTTCATCCCTTTTCAAATCTTACCCCTCTGTGACTACCTCTCTCCCCAATTCATAGACTCATAGAAGATCAGGGTTGGAAGTGACCTCATGAGGTCATCTAGTCCAACCCCCTGCTCAAAGCAGGACCAACCCCAACTAAATCATCCCAGCCACAGCTTTGTCAAGCCGGGCCTTAAAAACCTCTAAGGATGGAGATTCCACCACCTCCCTAGGGAACCCATTCCAGTGCTTCACCACCCTCCTAGTGAAATAGTGTTTCCTAATATCCAGCCTAAACCTCCCCCACTGCAACTTGAGACCATTGCTCCTTATTCTGTCATCTGCCACCACTGAGAACAGCCGAGCTCCATCCTCTTTGGAACCCCCCTTCAGGTAGTTGAAGGCTGCTATCAAATCTCCTCTCACTCTTCTCCTCTGCAGACTAAATAAGCCCAGTTCCCTCAGCCTCTCCTCATAAGTCATGTGCTCCAGCCCCCTGATCATTTTCATTGCCCTCTGCTGGACTCTCTCCAGTTTGTCCACATCCTTTCTGTAGTGGGGGCCCCAAAACTGGATGCAATACTCTAGATGTGACCTCACCAGTGCTGAATAGAGGGGAATAATCACTTCCCTCAATCTGCTGGCAGTGCTCCTACTAATGCAGCCCAATATGCCGTTAGCCTTCTTGGCAACAAGGGCACACTGCTGACTCATATCCAGCTTCTCATCCACTGTAATCCCCAGGTCCATTTCTGCAGAACTGCTGCCTTGCCACTCAGTCCCTAGTCTGTAGCAGTGCATGGGATTCTTCTGTTCTAAGTGCAAGATTCTGCACTTGTCCTTGTTGAACCTCATCAGATTTCTTTTGGCCCAATCTTCCAATTTGTCTAGGTCCCTCTGTATCCTATCCCTACCCTCCAGCATATCTACCGCTCCTCCCAGTTTTGTGTCATCTGCAAACTTGCTGAGGTTGCAATCCACGCCATCCTCCAGATCATTAATGAAGATATTGAACAAAAACAGCCCCATGACCAACCCCTGGGGCACTCTGCTTGATACTGGCTGCCAACTAGACATTGAGCCATTGATCACTATCTGTTGAGCCTGACAATCTAGCCAGTTTTCTATCCACCTTATAGTCCATTCATCCAGCCCATACTTCTTTAACTTGCTGGCAAGAATACTGGCATGAATCCTCCTCCTCTCCCCCATTGCTGCTCTTATTTGTGTCTGCAACTGTACTATTATTTCAGCATTTTGATTAGAGCTGGTTGGTAAATATTTCCTCTGCACCAATGGAATTTTTTTTTTAATAATAATTTTTTTGTCAACATTTTTCACAGAAAATTGACAGGTTTTTTTGTGACAAATTGAATGGGAAGCAGACACTTTGAACGAAAAAAACGTTGTTTAGTCAGGCTACAGAGGGGTAGCCGTGTTAGTCTGTATCAGTAAAAACAATGAGGAGTCCTTGTGGCACCTTAGAGACTAACACATTTATTTGAGCATAAGCTTTCGTGGGCTATAACCCACTTCATCAGATGCATGGAGGGAAAATTATTTTTCGTAGTGACCCAGTCACTTCCAGTCTTTATTCAGGCCTAATTTGATGGTGTCGAGTTTGCAAATTAATTCCAGTTCTGCAGTTTCTCGTTGAAGTCTACCAATGTGATATATGCCATTATGTGCTAGTAATGCCCCTCTGCCATGTACATTGCCCAAAGCGGACAGTCTGTATGCAAATAAACAAATGGACACAAATCAGACATCAAGAATTTTAACATTCAAAAACCAGTAGGAGAGCACTTCAATCTCCCTGGACGCTCAATAACAGACTTAAACGTCGCCATTCTTCAACAAAAAAACTTCAAAAACAGACTCCAACGTGAAACTGCAGAACTGGAATTAATTTGCAAACTTAACACCATCAAATTAGGCCTGAATAAAGACTGGGGTGGCTGGGTCCCTACAAAAAATAATTTTTACTCCGTTGATAGTCACACCTTCTTGTCAACTGTTGGGAATGGGCCACACCCACCCTGATTGAATTGGCCTCGTTGGCACTGACCCCCCCACTTGGTAAGGCAACTCCCATCTTTTCATGTGCTGTGTATTTATACCTGCCTACTGTATTTTCCATTCCATGCATCTGATGAAGTGGGTTTTAGCCCATGAAAGCTTATGACCAAATAAATTGGTTAGTCTCTAAGGTGCCACAAGGACTCCTTGTTTTTGTTTAGTCACAAACCCAATTTTCTGCTGAAAACTAGGCTTGTTGCTAAATTTTTGGCCAATCCTAACTTTGATCTAGTTTTTAGGAGAGGTGGTATACCAACAAGGGCTAGAGCCCTTACATGTATGTGTTGTCCCATTGACACTAGCTGAGCTTCTCATCTGAGTAAAGGTTTACAGGATCAGGCCCTATGTCTGTACTGTGCTGAGGTGGGGAATGCTGGTATTTGAAGAGAACTGGGAAACTGATCACAGGCCCAGCCAAACATATTGAGGGCTAAATTGGGAAAATGTTGCTTTCCCCTCCTCCCCCTTGATCACAACACTACTTGCATCACCACTGGACCTTCCAGGGAGTGTTTATGGCAGGGCTGTTAAGAGCTGGCCTATCCTCTACTGAAGTCCCACTGAATCCCTCAAAATAGGACTGTGCTTCCTGTCTGCATAGTATTAATTTCACCCCAGTTAATCTCCACAACACCCCACTTACAATGGGAAAATGTTATCACAATATTACAGCTGGAGAAAATGAGGCAGAGAAGTTGCAGAACTTGACTAGGGATATGCAGTGAATCGGTGGCAGAACTAGTATTAGACTGCAGGAAACTCCCTAGCTTCCATCCCTAAGTTCAAGCCACTTTTTCAAGTAACTTTAATAACACAGCATGCATGGGTATTGTTACAAAACCACCCATCGCTGCCTTCCCGCCACAGACTGACTAATGTGCCTGAATACATTTTTTTTTATATATGGAGATAGGCTGCATTTATGAATTGGAATGCCTTTTGTGTAACAGAGGCTGTCAGCTGACGTTCTGATCATTCATGTGTGGAGTGAGACCTTGTTGAGTTGGCAGGATTTTGAGGAGCTGTCTATGGTCACATTGTACTAATCAGTGAATTACATGCTGTTCTGAGGCAAGGCTGCCTCTTTTGCCAGCTATTTGAGAATCTTCTCTTTTATAATGTTCAACATCCCCAAGGGGATGGAAGGAGAACTCAGCTGTGCATGCGGAAAGAAAAGTTTGGCAAATATCAGGCCAGTTCCTCCTCTTCTGGCATAGCTGCATTTTCTTCAGTGAAGCTACACTGATTTACACCATCTGGCTCATTGTTCTGTGATTTACTGCTTTCAATTACTTGTAAACCTGGGCCAGATTCAGATCTCATTCTCGTCAGCACAAAGCCAGAATAACACCACTGATTGCAGGGGTGTGGGGAGAGGAAATTACTTTGGATTTAGGATGGTGGACCTGAGAGCAGAAATGATCCATCATATTCATTCATCCGATGCATTCAATTCTTATGTTGAATTCTGCTGAGAAGCCAGAGTGTGTGGGTGTAATTGGTGTATTTAGTCCTTAGCCATAGCAGTATTGTTGTTTTTTTAAGAGAGCAAAAGGGCCACTCTGGCTGGAGACCTCCCCTATAAAATAATTGGAGTTGGACTCAAGCTGTAAAATTTGGATCTGGTTTGATCTTGGCTTCAGTGTATGGGTCCCGCCCATTATAGAAACTGGAACATTTGCAAATGGATTTAGATTTCAGGCCACCCAAAGAGCGTAAGACTATTTGGAATTAGGTTTTTGGTCAAGCTCATGTCTAAATACAAGGAGTAATGCAGGTAACTCCAAAACAGTGGGTGCTCTTGGCTGTCCTCAAAGTCATATGCCAGGCAAAAACAAATGGATCAGACATTCTACTCAATTTAGATAATAGTGTTTCCCCTCTGGCCCAAGCTGTTAGCTAAAGTTCAGGACTTTGCAGGATTGTTTCCATTAGGATGAGAAATTGCTACTGCAAGTCAGGTCTACCCTTTGTGTACATTTTTTGTAAATAAACCAGACAACACCAAGTCCTATCTCCCTTGAAATTTGTTAGTCTCTAAGGTGCCACAAGTACTCCTGTTCTTTTTGTGGATACAGACTAACACGGCTGCTACTCTGAAACAAGAGTAGACAGTTTCCTTGCTCAGAAATTCCCAAGTCTGCCACTTTGATGAGCACTGTGCCCAAGAAGCTCTGTCTCTCTGCTTCCTCTCAGAGCCACATTCACAACTCCATCCCCAGGCTTTCTGCTCCAACACAGAGTCTGCTGCCCATATCCTAGCCATATGTTTGCAGTCAGGGAACCCCTCAGCCCACACAGCTTAGCTCTAACCTGGCACGCAGCCTAGAGCCTTGGGCAGTAGCCTCCCAGCTGCCATTACTCCATAAAGAGACTTGATTGCTCCTTCTCTTGAGCCTAAAGGGATTTTATTCCAGAATAATTACTGCTTTTTGGAAATGCAGTAATTACACTGGAATAAAGTGATTCCAGAATACAGTGTCCTTACAGGGAGTTATTTGGGAATAGTTTTTGCAGAATAGTTTCCTTGTGTACACTATCCCTTAGCTATCATCTCCAATGTCTGCAATACTGCAGTCAGTTCTGGACAATGCGGTATCGGAAAGATATGGACAAACAGACAAGAGTTCAGAGAAGACCATTAAGGAAAAAAATCGAGGGGCTTAAGCAATGTAGTTATGAAGAATGACTAGAAGAGCTAAGTATATATTGCTGCTAATGGACTATTCTGAAACGGCAGCAAAGCTACTCTCTCAAGGGAATGTCTCTTGTTTTATTTGTATTGGTCATTTCAGGAATTTTAGGATCTCTCTCTCTCTCTCTTTCTCACACACACACACACACACACACACACACACACACAGTCTTTTATCAGTTCAATTTATATCTACTCACTGTATTCAAACAACATGTGGACAACGTGAAAAGGTGCCCAGCACGCAGCGAAGAACAGCACTACAATAACCATCATCATCACGGCTCGTTTCTTCTTCCTGGAGGAAGCCGTTTGAGACAGAAAGCGAGAGCTGACAAGGAGACATTTATAGCAGGAGGCAAGCAGAAATTCAGCACCTGATCATTTGTACTGAGAGAAATAGGCTAGTTGCATTCAGATGCTAGAAGAGTAAAAAGCATTCACTGTAAAGCATTCACATTCCTGATAAAGGACAAGAGGATGGTCAATGAAATTGAAAGGTGGCAATAAAAAAAACCCTACCAAGCCGATAAAAGGAAACACTTTTTTCCTACACAATGCAAAATTAACCCATGGAACTCACTGCCACAAGGCCTCTGAAGCAGCTAATACCGGCCACTGTCAGAGTCAGAATTCTGAAGTAGATTGAACACTGGTTTACTAGTATTCTTCTGACTGCATCACAACCACTTTATGACCATTATACCAGCCTGCTTAACATTTTTTCATCTGCCAGGAAATTGATATATTTTCTAGAGGGGTTGGATAATGCCTGAAAGGTTTGCAGCTTTGCTTCCAGTTGGATAAGCACCCAGAAAGCTCAGAGGCCCAATTCTGCTCTTACTGACTCTGATGTAAATCTGGAGGTATCCACGGAAGCAAATGGAGTTACACTGATGCAAAATGGGTGTTGGAGGAGAATCAGGACAAGGTGTTTATTTGGGCCTCAACAGAATTGCTGAATCCCTAGAGGCTTCCCAGGCTCTGGATATTTCCTTCTTGGGACACTCCAAATTTCCTCCCTCCCTCTGACAGCTCTTTGCTTCTCCCTTTGTTTCTTCAGGGTTAGCCGAATAGGTCTCTATGGTGCATCAGTGCCCACTAGTAGTGCCCACGACTATATGCTCTCCATTTGACTGTGCCGCTTTCATGCCTCTCCCTTTGAGCATCACTCTGTAGGTCTCCTGGGAAAAGGGTGGGAGTGGGAATCTGACCTCCTAAAAGAATTTCACAGGTGTAGTACAAACGGCAGCCAAAATTCTGGGGAGGGTTCTTTGGGTTGAGCTTCCCAACAGCCATGGGAGTTAAGTGGCAGGCCTATGCAACGGAGAGAGAAACTGAACCATAGAGCGACTCCTTAGATTGTGAGTTCTTTTTGTTCTGTGTTTGTACAGCACCCAGCACAATGGGGACCCAGGACTGGAGCTTCTAGGTACTACGGGAATGAAAGGTCTGATTCTACACTTACTGAAGTCAATGGGAAGAGTTCTCATTGACTTCAGTGTGTGTTGGATCAGCTCTACAGGACTTGCCCAAGGTTCTACAGTAAGTCAGTGGCAGAACAATTAATAGAACCCAGGAGTCCAGATGACTAGTCCTCTCTTCTAACCACTTGCCAACATTGCCTACTAGTTCTCGCATGCATGCTTAAGCTGTGATGCTTCTCCTCTGGTCTAGGGCTGTCAAGCCTCCAGGATTGTCCTGGAGTCTCTAGGTATTAAAGATGAATCTTTAATTAAAGATAATGCCATGTGATGAAACCAGGAATTCATCCAACCAAAGTTGGCAACCCTATGCCCTGGTCTACGGTGGGGTGGAGGGAATCGATCTAAGTTACGCAACTTCAGCTATGTGAATAACGTAGCTGAAGTCGACGTACTTAGGTCGACTTACCACGGTGTCTTCAACACGGTGAGTCGACTGCTGCTGCTCCCCCATTGACTCTGCCTGCACCTCTCGTGGCGCTGAAGTACAGGAGTCAACGGGAGAGTGTTCGAGGGTTGATTTATCATGTCTAGACTAGACGCGATAAATTGATCCCCGCTGGATCGATCACTGCCCGCCGATTTGGCGGGTAGTGTAGACATACCCTCTCTCTGAGCCATTTAAAGCCAGTAGGACAGGCGGCCACCCACCTTGTTATTTTAGCCATTTCGTGGCGACTCAGGGCATTCAGCACCGAAGAGTCTCCAATCCGTTTCTTGATCCACAGCTCGTATCCTATCCGGGAGTAGAGCATCAGCATGGCAGTGAGTGGGACCAGAAACAGGGCCACCAGGATAAAGATTGCATAGGCTCGGCGCAGCTCAATGCTATGCCAGGACTCCAGGCAGCAGACGTGATGAATATTATAGAGAAAGTCATATTTCACCTAAGGGTGGGAGGGTGGAGTGGAGAAAGATACAAGATCAGAGACTTACAGGAGATGATCAATGCATCAGATAAGGAGTGGCAGAGAAAATAAACATCAATGTGAACAAGAATGACACAACACTGACAATAAATAAAAAAAGGGGAAACGAATCAAATCTAAAACCAACAAAAAGCCAAGAAGGGGGGAGGAGTGCCAGAGACACTATGTAGTCCACTGAGGACTTTGCTATTGCTATTGATTTTACGTAGAAGATGTTCAGATAACCATGGTGATGGGCCACGGTATAAAACCCCAAGCTAGGTAGGTAGATAGATAGAACAACACCTTGAAATTTGAACCCAAACCAGAAACACCAAGATTTAAAAGATTTTTGTTGCTTATATATAAATTGTCACTTTACATAAGAACTGACATACAGGGTCAGACCAATGGTCCACTAGTATCCTGTCTCTGGCAGTGAAACTTCAGGGCACAGAGCAGGGCAGTTTGGAGAGATCCATACCTGTCTTCCCCTCCTGGCTTCTGGCAATCAGAGGTTTATGGTCTCCCCGAACATGAGGTTACATCCTTGAACATCTTGGCTGATAGCCATTGATGGACCTATCATTCGTGAACTTATCTAGTTCTTTTTTGACCCCAGTTATGCTTTTGGCCATCATAACTTCCCCCCAGGCAGGGAGTTCCACAGGTGTTAATTGTGCATTGTGTGAAAAAGTACTTCCTATTATTTGTATTAAATATGCTGCCTATTAATTTCATCGGGTGACCCTAGTTCTTGTGTTTATGTGAAGGGTTAAATAACATTTCCCTATTCACTTTCTCCACACCACTCATAATTTTATAGACCTTTTTAATCTGCCCCTCTATTTTCTGAACTGAACAGCCCCAATCTTTTTAGTCTCTCCTCGTATGGAAGCCATTCCATACCCTTGAGCACCTTTGTTGCCCTTTTTTTAACCTTTTCCATTTGTTCCAATGGTTATTCACACGTGCTGTTAAAAATATATGCCTTATTTCTAATTTGAATTTGTCTGCCTTTGGCTTTCAGCCATTGATTCTTGTTCTATCTATGCCATTCTCCACTAGATTAAAGAGCCCTATAGTGTTGGTATTTATACACTATAATCAAGTCAACTCTTGAGCTTGTTCATAAACTGAACAGACGGAGCTCCTTAAGTCTCTTGCTGAAAGGTATTTTCTTTTTCAGCCCTTGAATCATTTTCAGGGCCAAGTGATTTGCTCAAAGTCACAAGAAGAACCAGGAAATAGACCCAGGAATCTTGCCTTCCCTGTCTCCCCTGCTCTAGATGTCAAATCCCTTGCATGGCACCCCTTGATGAATACAGCAATAGCTTAGTTCTGCTGGCTCCCTACTTAATTTTACTTACATACTGCGTCTTGGAAGTTTCTGTTACAGACTAGAGTAGCTGTTTTATAGTTCTGTCTGCTGTAGAGTTATAGTGAGATAAAACTCAGACAGGCCTGGCACTTGGCATATATTGATGACCATGTAATGTGGAAAATGAATGACATGGTTTATCAGTGAGGATGCTGCTTTACAAACTGATGTGCTACTGCTGAAGAAGCCCCTAATTGCTAGGATACGATGCTTATAAAGAGGCAGAGGGAACAATGCAAAATGCAGCAGAGAAACTAGCTTTGCAGAGGGAATGGGAGTTAATCACTCATTTCATGCCCATCCTTGCTGTCTGTCTGGAAAACGTAAATACCTTCTTTTTTAAAGGCTACTGGCAGGAAGGTATTTAAATAAGCACTCAGATCTGTAAAATTAATTCTCATAGTAGAGACAAGATGGGTGAGGTATTATCTTTTATTGGACCAACTTCTGTTGGTGAAAGAGACGTGCTTTCGAACATACACAAAGCTCTTCTCCTAGCAGGGCATTTAAATTACTCTGGGCCAGCTTGTCATCTGCTGTATGTTGAGATGAGTTCCTGTCTGCATCCTGTAAAACTTGCCCATACCGGTATTGCCCTGGCCTCTTCTTTTGTCATTCAGTGTTGCACGCATTCTAAAACAATATGCATTTCCTCATCTTTTGGGGGCGAAGCCAGACTTTGAGGCACCTGCTCCCCTACTTGGTGTAAACTTTGCTTGTGCCAATCAGAAACGAACACAAACAGGTTTTGGGCCCCGTCCCCTATGACACTTCTATGATGTCATAGTTGGTACTTTATGGGCCTGCCTGCCATGTGCAGGCAGGGAGAGGAGAAAGAAAAACGAATCCTGTGTATCCTGTGTACACCCGTAACCGAGCCTGATCACTTCGAAGCCTCTCTCTCAGCTCACGTGTTTCAAACAGAGTTTCTATGTTTGCCGGTTGTTATGCGTTGGTTTGTATTTGTAAGTATCAGTTATTACTAATTGCTGCATCTTTGTTTATAAATATTGTTAGTAGATATTTTAGACATTGTGTGTTTTAAGTTTCATTAACTCTATTAGCTAATCAAACGCTGCTCCCTTACCCCTTGTAATTATCTCCAATAAAACTTTAAATTGATTAATTTTAGTTGTGTGTGTGTCTGCAGTTTGCATTGTGACCCGTACTCTCCTTGCATCCCTTACCAATATAATCTATTGCCACGTGCAGCCTGGTAAATAACAGGCCTGCATTTTCTTTCGCCCCTGCGTGCCCGTGGCAATCCACACTGTAAATTGGCATTGGTCCATTGGCATAAGTATGGAACGGAGTATGCCTTCAGTGAAGCTGCACAGCTGAGATATAGTTCTCTCTGTCTGATAATGGGATTTTTTTCCCATTATGTTTTATGCATGTAACTAATGTAACAGTGTCCATTTCACCCAAATATCTGCTCACTGGTTCATCACCTCTATGAAAACTCACTAGTTTTACACACTTGACATTTGCCATAATGATTGTCATAACTATAAAGGGAAGGGTAACAACCCTCCTGTGTACAATACTATAAAATCCCTCATGGCAAAGAGGCACCAAAACCCTTTTACCTGTAAAGGGTTAAGACGCTCAGGTAACCTGGCTGACACCTGACCCAAAGGACCAATAAGGGAAGAAAATAGTTTCAAATCTGGGGGGGGGGGAAGGGAAGAAAGGCTTTTGTTTGTGCTCTTTGTTTTGGTGTGTTCACTCTTGGGACTAAGAGGGACTGGACATCTATCCATGTTCTCCAAAACTTTCTGCACAAGTCTCTCATATTTCAAACTTGTAAGTAACAGCCAGGCAAGGCGTGTTAGTTTTATCTTTGTTTTCTCAACTTGTAAATGTTTCTTTTGCTAGAGGGTTTACCTCTGTTTGCTGTAACTTTGAACCTAAGGCTAGAGGGGGTTCATCTGGGCTCTTTGAATCTGATTACCCTGTAAAGTTATTTTCCATCCTGATTTTACAGAGATGAATTTTACCTTTTCTTTTAATAAAATTCTTCTTTTAATAACCTGATTGATTTTTCATTGTTTTAAGATCCAAGGGTTTGGATCTGTGTTCACCAGGACTAATTGGTGAGGGGATTACCAAGCCTTCCCAGGGAAAAGGGTGTAAGAGCTTGGAGGGGATATTTTGGGGGAAGAGGAACTCCAAGTGGTCCTTTCCCTGTTTCTTGTTAAAGCACTTGGTGGTGGCAGAGTATTAAAATTTAACCTAAGCTGGTAGAAATAAGCTTAGGGGGCTTTCATGTAGGTCCCCACATCTGTACCCTAAAGTTCAGAGTGGGGAGGGAACCTTGACAATGATTTAACTGCATCTGGACAGTTGCTGATCTCAGTTAGGCTGGGGTCCAACCCTTGGAGCTGCTCCTGATTCACCCTAGAAGAACAGAGCTAAAGGACTGGCTGGCGTAGATTGGTGGAGCTCCATTTAAGACAAGAAAGCTATACTGATATATGACTGCAGGGGACCTGGCCCGTTGTCTAAGCTGTATTAAATGTAGTGCAGAACGAGATTTTAAGTGCTGATATCATAAAGCATGCTACTTCTGCTTGTCATATAGAACAGCAATGCGCAGTGCCACTGGGCACGGATAATTCCCACTTCTACAATGACACATTGCAAAGGAGGGAAAGGAGAGGAGTTCCCAGTTTTGTACTCAGACACTCCAATTAACTGTGATTAAAGTCGGTGTCAGGGACAAACTGTGGGCACTGGTGGCTTGACTCACATCCAGTAGAAGCATCATTCTTTGAAACTACCTGCTGATTTCCCCCTGGAAAATTTTACTATTCATTCTGGGCCTGATTCTCCTCTCACACCAGTGTAAATCGGGAGTCACTGGGATTACTCTGGAGAGGAGAATCAGGCCCCTCTATCTGATAACAGTGCTACATATACTGCCTGCCAATCCTATTGTCATAAGCTTCTTAGTGGCAAGATCTCAGACAAAGAATTTTGTGAGTTAAGCCATCAGGCTATTGCACAAGGATTCATAGGGCCTATCTGCACTGCAATCAGAGGTGTGACTGCAGTGCGTGTAGACATAGCTGAGCTAGCTTTGATCTAGCTAGCTCGAATAACATAGCAGTGGAACAACGGCAGGGCGGACTATACAAGCCCACCAGGGTGTGTATTCGAGCAGCTAGCCCAGGCTGCTATGGCTTTACTGCTATTGTTATTTAAACCAGCTAGATCAAAGCTAGCTCTGTATGCCTACAGGTGCTGCAGTGTAGACATATCCAGCCCAAGCCTGAATGTCTACATTACAATTTCATAGCTCTACAGCCCGCATCAGGTGACACGGGCCAGCCCTGGATGTTTTATTGCAGGTGGGCATACCCTAACAATAACACTGGGTGGCAGTTTTCAGATGAGCATTCTCTTCCATGAATAGGTGACTGGCATTTACCTCCAGAGTCTGAACGTACAGCATGGGCGACCCAACAATGACTGCAATCGTCCACACGAATCCTGTTTAAAGAGAGAAGAAAGGAAGAATTAATTCTTTCAATTATGACAGTTACTTTTCAACATTTATCTCAAGGCGTTTGTCAGTGTTTACTTTTGCCAAGTGAATTGGCTAGAATGAAAGAGCGGAGGCTCTAGATTTCTAATAATTGAGAGCTTGCGAATCAAGAAGCATCTTGTTTTTTCACTTTGTTAATTATGCATAACTGCAGGGCTCACACGGCGTTTCTACCTCTCTCTGCGGAGAATTCTTCACTCGTTGTCAAGGTGAATCAGTTACAGATTAAAAATCTAATACCTAATCCTTTACACCTTTCCTGATTTAAAATGAAAGGTATTTCAGTCTCCAGATCCAGCCAACTCCAGATGTTATTCACTTGAAATCAAATTTTCAGAGTAAGGAAATTGTTCCAAACTAATAATCACATGATGCTTTCATTCTGCCTCCCTTGCTCTTGCTTAGTAATATCTTGCCTTGCAAATAGTGCCATTGATTTAAATGGAGCTATACTAAAGAAAACTACTACTCAGTGTGAGTAAAGGAGACTGATAAATCAGCAGAATAAGATTGTAGGCTGAAATTCTACTATGGGTCATGCACCATTTAAGTGCTCAAAATATGGTTCAAATGGGATGTAAGTGGTGCATAGAACTTGGGTTAGCCCTCTGCGCAGGGGTGAATTTCACATGCAATGAAATTTTGGTTATGGGGAAAGTCACTGTGTTTGTAAATATGAGTTTTGCCCTGATTTATACCATTGGAGCTACTGTATATCATGGCCCAATTTGGCCCAATATATTGGATACCTTTTAAAAAAGGACTGGAAAAAAGTGTCTCACTCCATGTTGCTTAACTTTGTATTGTTTCATCTGCACAACAGTCCATATAGTTATATTGGGAAATAACTGTGTGGGTGTGAGGAAATGTCAATTAAGTCAACAAAAGCCTTTTCACTGGCCTCATTGGGCGTCGGATCAAACCTTAGATGTAACTACTGGGGGTGGTGAATGGGCATTTTCTTGTTAATTGCACCCGCTGTACAACTGTTCAAGAAATGTCATCCCACTGTGGGGTTTGAGATAAGATGAATGGAACCTGCGCAGTTCACCCAGGTCTCCCTGCAGCCTTTTGTGAGGGTGTGTGTTTCTGAGACCCCAACAGATTATTTTAGTGCCAGGAAACTGGATTATGTTTTCATTTAAGAGCTCACAAAGTTCCCCACCTCTTGAGCTCTCTGTCTCATCCTTGATCTAGTGCTAAATACTCATCGATCGTTCAGAAAAATTGCCTGAAGCCAGCACAAAGCCAGATGCGGGATGCAAACAAAGGGAGATACCCTGCCCCCTTTTACATCCACTGAAATCAGTGGGGTCACACTGGCATGGTGTAACTCAGGCCGAAGGATTTTCTTTCCCTTTAACAAACTCACAGGTAATACAGATTCTTTTTCTCTTGGAAGATGAACTTTGCCCTGTGCAGAGCCAGCGTGAGGACTAAGCACCCTGAAGTCCCACTTAAGCCCTGTTTTGAGGATTGACATAGTTCTCAGAATTATGTATGCTGGCCCTCTATGCAGGCAGGGGAAGGAAACAGAAAACCCCGTAAGCATGCAAGAAGTCCTGAACCAACAAGCTCTTCTTATGGTGAGCCCGACCCTGCCCTGCTGAAGGGAGCTTTGTCATTGATTTCAGAGGAGGCAGGATCAAGCATTGTATAAGCCAAGCTGCTGAACGCTGTAAACCCCAAAATCACAGTAGATAACTGCAGTGCCGCTGGGCTATCTTTTGCCTGCTGATGAATGGGTGTTTAGGGACTAGGGAGTGGGCTGGGGAAGCCCTGCTCACCCCTCCACAACACACACACAATCTCTTTCACCTGGGCAGGAGGAACCATTGCATTCCCCCAGGAGAGCACCTACCACCTTCCCCCAGCAGAGACTCATCAGTAGTACGGAGCACCCCAGAGCAGGATAGAGTAGTGCTGAGGGAGTCCCCTATGAACGAATGGGGCAGTTGCTGCTCTTGTGTACATTCCTCCCAGTAGCCCAAGGGGTATTCTGCTAGACTCTTTCCTGTGTGAGGTCTCCTTCTGCAACATATCCCCTTTTAATGTGGCATTAGCTACGGATTCCTCTCGTCTAGTCCCACGACGTAGAGATCTGTAGGAAATGGAATTTTCATTCCACACAAAAAATGAAGATTTGTTTTCATTCTCAATTGGAACAAAACCAAACATCTTTTTTGGGAAATTTTCTGCCCACCTGAATTTTTGAAAAATGTTCACTTGGGGTCTATCAGAACATCCTGTTCCCAGAAAATCAAAATGTTTTGGTCCGATTTTGATTTTAAAAATAAATGAACATTTCCAAACGAAAAGTCATTTAGAAATGAGAAATCAAAATGGAACAGCCTGAGTATCAAAACGTTCTACTCTGACATCACCAAAATGCCGCGTTCCAATTCTTTTTCCTTGATGAAATTTCATCGCCAGTGGATACCTTCTTGCAGAAAATGTCTGTTTCAGTGAAATAGCATTTTCCAATGGAAAAATGTTCTGTTGGAAAATTTTTGACCAGTTCTAAAACCAAGTCATCTAGTCCATCCCAACCATGCAGGTTTATCCATGGATTGTGTCCTCCCAGTGCTTTTTGTGCAATCTGATTTGAAATCACCCACGGCACAGTGGCCTATTCTGCCCAGACATAAGAGTTATATAATAAATTTAGGACAAAGTGTCATTCATCATTGAACCTGAGGTTCAATGGCTCCATGCAACAAAATATCCTGTTTTGTTTTGTTTTTAATTTTGCCAACCGCATAGCAAGAAAAAGCTGCATGAATCATTATAAATGTTTATATGGAGGGTGAAGGATGATAGGATGTGCTGCCCAGAGTTCCCCTCCTTAGGACAATAAAAATAGAGGAAAATAATGAAGCAGAATATCAGCGAAGGGCATTTTAAGGTGTTAAGTATCTAGTCAAGTGGGAGAAAAGGACAAATGTATCCAATTAAAACAAAAAACACACATCAGGGACATGAGACTTTTTTTTTTTTGAAACCGATGGTTTTTAAGAGCAAAAGTAAACCAGATTGTCACAATGGGCCACAGTCCTACAGCACTGATTTCAGTGAGGCCACTCATGGAACAAGCTGCTATTCGGGGTGAGTAAGAGGATCAGAATCAACTTGCAGTGGGGAGGTCTAGGTTGGATATTAGGAAACATTATTTCACCAGGAGGATGGTGAAGCACTGGAATGGGTTACCTAGGGAGGTGGTGGAATCTCCATCCTTAGAGGTTTTGAAGGCCCGGCTTGACAAAGCCCTGGCTGGGAAGATTTAGTTGGGGTTGGTCCCGCTTTGAGCAGGGGGTTGGACTAGATAATCTCCAGAGGTCCCTTCCAACCCTGATATTCTATGATTCTATGAATCAGTCTCACTGTCATTATAGTGCTGTAGAGCTTGAAAGCAGTAATATAAAACTTGATTCTTCCCACACTTCCATGGTGGAGCAGGTGGGGGATCAGGAATAGCTCCACTGAAATCATGCTGATGTAAAGATGGTGTAAATGAGAGCAGAATCAGATTCTTAGAGTGGACTCAAGAAAATAGTGAGGATTAAATTGTGTAATGCACTGGTGTGTTTGTGACAGAGATCTGACCTCTCTTAGATGGAATATCAGGCGTTGTGTTTAGCCAGACACAAAAAGAAACCATGTGCTTTCAGTCTGAATGACTTGTATTTTTGATGAAGGAGAAAAACCAACCAACCTAGAATGGCTCAAAGCCAATGCTCATGGAAGTTAATGGGAAGGCTCCCTTATTAGCTTCCATGGGAGTGCACCTATGTTTGTCCAACACGGGCTGGATTTGAACGTGTCCTAGAGGTGGCATTGCCAACTCTCATAATTTTGTCATGAGTCTCATGATGATTATTGTTTTCCTTAAAGCTCCAGCTCCTGGAGTCAAGTGGATATGTGATGATTTCAGCCTTCATTCTTAAAAAGAAAAAGTAAGTTTCTAGCCCTCGTGGCTATGTAGAAAGCTTCAAAAAGGTGACCTCAGTGCACCCTGTAGGCTCAAAAAGCCTTAAATAAATAGAAGCCAAATAAAAAGAACCTCAAATCTATTATTTGTATGTAATCTCATGATTTGAAAGCCAATCTCATGGCTTTTGGTGAGCCTGACTCATGATCTTTGAACATTTGGGGGTTGCAAGACTGTAGAGGTGCAAAACTCCATGCCCCATTACCAGTTACCCTACATATATACACAGCCATACCTAGCATTTTGTAGGTTCTCTTGTTTGTGTACTGTCTCTTCATCTTCAGTGGGTGAACTATTCCTTGGTACCTCTCTACAGCAATGCATGTCATGGTAAGGGTGCTGGCCACAACTGCGGTGGTCTGAATGAAGGGGACCATCTTGCACACAAAGGGGCCTAGAAAAGAAAGACACATTTTAGTGTGCTGGCGCTCATGGCAGAAATAAACCCTAACGCTAAGGCCTAGGAGCAAATTTCAGCAGGCCCCTCATTCACACTGGTGGCTCAATTCTAACTCAGATTGTCCTCTATGCATGGACTTCTTTTTAATCTTTGGGTTGTCAAAGAACCTGAGCCAGATTCCTTACTGTGCAGAGAGCTACTTAGCCCAGGAGAGGAGGGGACAGTCAAGGAATTGGTGATAACTAGAGTTAGGTGAAATTTTTCAGCCAAAACTTATTTTTGGTGAAAAATGGAGATTCAACGCCACGGAAACATTTCACGAATTCCTGCAGGTTTCACCAAATTGTTTTGATCGGGGGGAAAAATTGGAACACAGCAAATTGTTTGAATTTTTCAGTTCAAAATGACTTTCCATTTCAAAATTTTCTTTAATTTTTTTTAAATCAAAAATGTTTAAAAACTGTCCAAATGATTTTGTCAAAATAAAATATGTTGTTTGACCCCAAACTATTTTTTTGACTTTGGGATTTGCCAAAACTTTTCAGAAAATGTCATTTTGCATTCAACTCCAAACAACCCCTCTACTCAGGTGGCGGTGGTTGGTTGTTGTTTTTCTGTTTCTAATTGCCAGCAAACAGAAAAATCCATTATTTCAACAACTCTAGCTGTAACTTCCTGATTCCGTCTAGCTGCCTTGGCCCAGCCCTGCTCTAAGTCAGAGCAGCCTAAAGGCTACTCTAAAATACACTAGGTAGTATGGTCCCCAAGGGACCAGGCATCAGCTGAGAACTGGCCAAGCTCAGGTGTGCTCTATCCCCCGCCCAGACATGCTCCTACACCAGACTGCGGGGTCAGTAGGAGTATGCAGGCATTCCTATGCTGGGAAAATCTCAGCGAGCCAGTTAGAGACAGATTCTTGCCACTGGGCGCCACCTGAGCATTGCAAAGTGGCAGGAAAACAGGGGAGAGAATCCAGCCACGTGTCCAGCAGGCTTCTGCTTAATTGCAATATGAATTCAATGCTTTTCTTTCCTGCACGCAGGTGTAGGATAATGTGCAATTGACACATTACTTTCGACCACTGGATGTCTGCCCAGCCTTTCAGAACTAAAACATACAATCAGCGAGGGGCTGGGTGTGATGACTTCTCAACATCCCTTCCAGCCCCCTGTGAAAGAAGGGAAATTTTAGGCAACGTGTCCTAGTGCAGGCACTGCTTTTGCTCCAGTGCTCCCCCAGCATTGGGTAACACAATAGCCCTTAGGATGGGGGCTACAGAGATATGCACTGGACTCCACGACATGATGCAGGAAGGTAGAGTTTCCTGCAGAGCCGTACAGCACCATGCACCATTGGATCTTGATTTACAACTGGGGCTCATAGGTACTATGGTAACCCCCAAAACCCAATAATAATTAATAGTAGCACCTTTAAAACCCCTCCCACACACGCACCACCTTAAATATAGATACTTCTATAGCAAGCCTCTTTGATGTCAGACCAATATTCCGAAGCAGCCAAGACCTCCCCAGTGTAATGGTAATACGGAAGTATCACTCAGACATTAAATATAGTGCACAAAGCTAGAGCATATCTTGAGCCCTGGGCTCTGCAGGTATGAAATGCCACCAGGCAGTGGAGTCCGTATGGTTCCATGGTGCAAACAGCAGCAGGATGGTGGTACACAGAGCTCAGCCCCATGGAAAAGTCCACTGGAGCCGCCCAAAGAGATCTGGGCAGGCATGGGTCCCCTGACCCTATCTCCAGCCATTGGGGTCCACAGACTGGGGAAAGCAAGGCCTGCCTTGTGCTCAGGCCAGGGCTGGACTGAGCATTTTAGGCTTATGGTCTGATTCTCATTTACACTAACCTTTCAGCTAAGTGTGGCTTAGGGGATAGAGCACTGCACTGGGACTCAGGAGATCTGAGCTCTGCTGCTGGGGTGACCTTGGGCAGGTCACGCCCCCTCTTTGTGCCTCAGTTTCTGTGGAATGGGGATAATGATACTGACCACCTCTGTAAAGTGCTTTGAGATCTATGGGCAAAAAGTGCTATATAAGCAGGAGGTGGTGTGTATTAAAGCCTCCTGCATCTCTGGCCGTGTGCAGGGGTCAGAAACAGTCTCCTGAAAATACTCCCTTTTGCAAATGCCTTCACAGCCAGTGTAGAGCTGCCTTCAGGTCTCTATGCCCAACCTGCTCCCAGAGCCTGGTGTTGGGGCCGATCAGAAGTACTATGGGTATTTTCTGCCTTCCAGGGCTGATGGGACCATGTGAAGCAGAGCATAAGGTAGAGTAGCCCCAGGGCTGCTTTTACTTGCAGCAGGGTAATAAGATATTAAAGGTGGCTTAAAAGCCACCTTCAGCCATGCTCCCTGACCCTTCCCAAAGGCAGGAACAGAGCAACTGGATATCAGGCACTTAGGGCAGATAATTTATGGAATATGCATCATTCATCAGGCCACCAAAGTCATCGTGCTGGGATGTTAAGCAAGCTACTCTGAAGGATTATAACACTGTTTTTAGGTTAGCGTTCCCCAGCTCCTGAATCTCTTTTTAGCGTGCACGCCGTTGATTGAGGGCAAAGTTTTAGGATGATGATTTGGGGTCAAACTCTGCTCAGCTATACTGGTGTAAATCCAGAGTCACTCCACTTGACTTCAGATTTACATGAGTATCACAGAGCAGAATATAACAGTGGAATGAGAAGCTCTAAAGAGCGTTAGTTCTGTTGGAGAAGAGGGGAAAGTTTGACACTGAAGTCTGATCGTGCCAGTCAAAGTTGAATGGCCTTCTGAAGGAATCTGATCACATGGCCCTTGTGTAAAGCAGACACAAGGATCAGCCATGCTGGCGTCAGTAGATGGAGGTTTTATCTGGTTTTTCTTTTGCATGAGAATCAGTTGAAATTGTGTTTTGTTCCCGATGCCAGATGCTGGGTACAATACTACCAATCTCCCAATATGATGCTAGAATATTGAGAGACATCTGCATGAAGTGAATACTAACCGACTCAACTTCCTGGAGGTCTTTGTGCCTTGAACGTTGTTGATAAGAACGCTGTGGCTTGACTTGACCAGATTGCATACGCCAAATAGTGAATAGTCCCCATGGTCATTAGAAGTTCTTTTCTGGACTGATCACCCCACCACTGAAATGAATGTCAAACCTCCCCCAGCCTTCAGTGGGAGCAGGAGTGGCCCCTTAGGGCAAATGATTTTATTAGCTAGAAACAGAGGGTGTGATCTGGGGCCCTGTTGCAGTCCCCCTACATTGCTGCAGCAAATAGGGTGACCATATTTCTTAAAGTAAAAATGGGACGGACTGGGGCTCGCTTGAGCTGCCCCCGCCCTCCCCGCACACAGGGCTCGCCAGAGCCACCCTCCTCATGCCGCCCGGGGCAGGGACTGAGAGCCCGAGCCCCAAGCCGCTCGTAGCTGGGGCTGGGGCTGACTCACAGACCTCAGGGCTGATCTGCTGAGCTCCACACCGCCTGGGGCTGATGCTGAGCGCCCGAGCCCCGTGCTGCCCGTGGCTGGGGCTGACCCACCAACCTCTGCATCGCCCAGGCAGTCAGCTCTGAAGGCAGCGCTGCCTGCCAGCAGCAAATTTCTCCGCTCTCCTGCTGGCGGGCAACGCTGCCTTCAGCTGAGCCCCCCCAGTCCCCGGGTAGCAGCTCTCCGCTCTGCCTTGCAACTAGGACAAATGCCCAATTTTGGTGAAAAAGTAGAGACGGCCGGGACAGAGCTGAAAAAGGGGACTGTCCCGGACAAAAGGGGATGTATGGTCACCCTAAGCATACCAGAGCTGTGAAAGCCCAGGAGATATCAGGGGAAGAATTCCCTTAGTGCAGGCACTGTGTAAAGCAGCCACTATTTGCGATAGCCCCGGGGCCATGCCAGGGTGGGAGTGGAAGGGGGTCTAGCAAATAGAACGATGGCAATTTTGGGTGGCGCTGCCACCCACTGACAGCTTGGGCGGGCTGGGCTGTTTTAGAATCTGCCTGCAACAGATCTGCAATATCCTGGATAAACCTTATTGAATCAAGTTTAATACCCGGGGGGCCCATTGTATTCAAAATGCAATCGTGAGTGCGTGTGTGTGTGTGTGTGTGTGCTTGTTATTGTGAGATTGTATGTAACTTCCCTAGGAGGAGGAGGTTCGCTGAAATAATTCCTCCTGTTATCAGCCCTCTGTAGCTTTGCCATTGGCGAGCTGGTGACCTAGTCACTGTTTCTTCAGACGTTCAGACTGGATTCTCTACAGAGCAGCTGACAAAAAAAAAGAACTTGGTGGTGAACAGACTCAGGGCTCTTGTTCTGTTCCAGCAAATGGACAGGACCTCTGGTCCACAGAGGGTCCCAAACCTTAAGGAAGTGTTGGAAGGACTTTGGCCTACTAAGTACCATAAGACTAGGGTGATCAGATAGCAACGGTGAAAAATCGGGAGAGGGGGTGGGGGGGTAATTGGCACCTATATAAGACAAAGCCTCAAATATCGGGACTGTCCCTATAAAATAGGGACATCTGGTCACCCTGCATAAGACTGGGTGCTAGTTCTGAGCTGAGGCAGTTCTGAACTTGTGCTCTATGTGGGGTTTGAAGGACTAACCCAATGTGGAAGGGAGCAGGGGGTGATCTCAGAAAAGTTTACTAGCAGGTGTGTAGGTTCTTTTCTAGTGTTTAACACGCTTACTCGGTAGTGCTTTTACCTTCAGAATAAAATTGGCTTGCACAGAAAGAACTTTGTGGTAACTTATAACTGTAGCAATTGCACTTGGTCCCATCTCTGAGGAGAGAAATGATGCAGGCCTGCTTAGGCAGACCATCTTTTGCTGGGAATAACAGTGAAGGCCGGGAACTGGCCCGGCTGGAAATACCCCAGTGAGAAGGGAGAGAGACGCAGCTCTCCACCTAAGAAAGGCAACGGCTGAGGGAGCTGGAAACCCAAGAGCGAAGGTCCTTGTTGGATCATGGAGGGGAAATACAGGTGCA